AAAAAAAAAAAAAAAAAAAAAAAAAAAAAAAAAAAAAAAAAAAAAAAAAAGGGGGGGCCCCCCCCAAAAAAAAAAAAAAAAAAAAAAAAAGGAAAAAAAAAGATTTAAGGGATGTTTCAAGCTAGGAGAAAAAAAAAAAAAACATCACCGACCTAACGCAGAGTGTGCCATTTGACCTACCTTCTTCACCCGGGGCTAGGTCCCACTTGCACGAATTAAGAGATACTGGCCGTAGATAGCAAAGATTAACGGCCGAAATCTCCCTATTTGCGCAAGTGGGACCTTGCCCCAGATTACAACGTACGGTCATTATAGCTGTATTTTTGGGGCTATCCTTTGGTCTAAATACAGCAATAATGACCGTGCGTTGTATTCGGGTGAAGAAGGTACTAAGAAGGTAGACTAGGGTGGCAGTTGACCTACGCTGCAGCTGCGGGGAAGGTCCAAGGTGGGAGGAGCGTGAGCGAGGTAGGGCATAGTACTTACTCACACTTACTCTAGCACTTGCTTTCATGGACCTGTCTGCAAGTACGACCCGACGTGGATGAATCTCACCGGCCAAAATGTCCAGAGGTCCGTACAAAAAGTCTTCGTATGACCTTTTTTTTTTTTTTTCTTTTGTTTGAAAGCTGCCTGGCCAGAGCTCCGTACGCCTTTTATTTTTCTGTTCTTTTTTTTGTTTTTTCAAAAGCAGCCTTCTTTTCGTTGGGGGACAGCCATATATTTTTTTTCTGTCACCTCACATAGCTTTTAACTGGCTTCTTGGTATGAGATTTCCCACCAATGACGAACATGAGGAAAAGATTTCCCACCAATGACGAACATCCTGGGATAGAGGCCTTGCAAGCGGGTTTTCGAAAAAAAAAAAGAAAAAAAAGGAAAGACCGAGGAAAATGACGAAAGTCTCACGAACCAACCTCAGGCTGTCCATCATTTAGCAAAAAAAAAAAAAAAAAAAAAAAAAAGGGCGTACTCACTCTACCTCTATCTTCAATGTATCTGCCTACGTCGCTGTACCTGACCGCAAGTGTGACTACAATAAGTAAAAGAGGTCCTGGCGTGAGTATGCCCTAAGAGGACCGCCACAACCAGGGATGAAACAAGTGTAGAGGCCAGCTTCCAACTGCGCCCCACCCCTTACCTGGCTCTGGGCCAGCTTCCAGGGGTGTGGTCCCATTAGCAGTCGGATAGGAGTGTGGCCCATCCAGTGTGACACTGAGTGGCAGCGGCCTGACAGGTTCATTACGAATTTCTGGAGTGAGAAAACAGGAGAAAGGCAAAAAAAAACAAAAAAGAAACAGAGACCTCCCACCGGAAATCACGGCAGAGTGCTTCCCAGCCATCAGATCACAAATGATCTGATGGTGGTGGTTGCAACAACAGTGCAGAAAGTAACTGCCACATTTTTTGGAATAAACTCAACTTCTGTCAGCAGTGATCCTGACGCCCTCCATATACTCCCTGATTGAAGGAGGGCTCCACCCAATGAGATAATTGCACAACATCAAGCAAAATACTGAAAATCTTCTCTCCAGTGGGCCTATGGCCGACCCCGCTCCCTTTTGGGTTGGCCATGCCCCCAACGGATTGAAAAGATTTTGGCAGGAAGCTTCCTTTGCACTGGCATGCCCAGTGTTAACGAGAGGAAGAGGGGAACCAAGATCTCCTTACGTTTTCGGGTAATACATGTAAAATACTGATGGTGGGATCACCAGTACTGCACGGCTGTGTCCCCCTAGTCCGCGGCCGCCTCCGACTTGGCCGCGGCCGAGGAGGCCGGCCTCCTCGGCCGGTCGCGGGCCTGCGGCCTAGGCGCGCGCGCGGCCTGCGCACGTCGGCCGCTGTCGACCTGTGCAAAAAAAAAACAAATCAAAATTTTTTTTTGGGGGGGGGGTTGATGTGTGACAAAAAAACAATTAAAAATAGAAACAAAAAAAATTCATTGATTGATTGTTTTTGTATTGATTGATTGATTGATTGATTGATTGATTGATGGGTTGATTGATTGATTGAATGATTCATCGATTGATTGATTGATTGGTGGGGGAGGGGTCCCGGTAAACCGTAGGCAGAGATATATATATATATATTTGTGACGATAGCCTCCTGATGAGTCGGTGAAACTCCGACGAAACAGTTTGTCACAGCCCCTCGTTTGTTGTCCTCTTCTCCCTCTCTGCCTACGGTTTACCGGGCAGTTCTATTTGACGATATATATACAGGGTTGCCAGGCCGAACGTACGGAGGCCCCTAAGCTGACCCCCGAACGTTCGGGCGTTCGGGTCTCCGTACGGGGCCCGAACTTGAAGGGGTTCGGACCCCGGAAAATTATTTTGGCACCCAAATATTACTATTTTTTTCTGAATGTTTTTTCGTGAGTTCTTTGTGATGTAAGGTATTCCCCGATTAATTTTGAAGTCATTCTGTTTAGCCAAAAAACAATGCAAAATCCTCAAAGGTGGTGGTGTCAAAACTTGCTTGCCCACTCACAAATTTGTTTTTCTTCTCTTTTCACTTTTTGTTTTTCCTTTATTTCGGGGCATAAAGCAATTTATTATTTTTTCAAACTTTATTTGTAGATTCTCTATTATGTAAGATACACATATATAAATTTTCATGGCATTTGTCACGGCCAAAACAAAGTGAAAAATTGCCAAAGATGGCGGTGTCAAAAACGTGCTCGCCGACGGACGAAGTGGGAGGCGGCGCCGTAGCGCTCTAGTCCCGCGACGCTTGCGCTAATGCGTTAGGTTTTCGGAAGATAGCGGAGTTCGCTCGTTACGCCCCGGGGCGCTTAGCAGGGGAAGACGTGCCACGGAGCTGTCGGGCTTCACAAGTGAGCTCGAGCAATGGTGGCATGAACTTGTCCAGGGAAAGGGGAAGAGGGGTGGTGTTGTGTCGGCTAGAGGAGCCTGCTATACTGCTGAATGATTCTGAACCGCTGGAACTGAAGGGCGCCAACTTTTGGCGAACTTCCTATGGAGCATCTGGTGCATTGTGGAGAGATCAGTCGGAAAGGAGCGGAAGACGAGACGACTCGTCCCTCGAGCCAGGGTCTTGTTGCATCTCTGTTGTTGCTAGTGGCTTTCGAGGAAAGCTTCTGCGAGTCCAAGGAGTAGTTACGGCTTTCAGGTAAGAATCAGATTCCTGTTCGTGCGGAAGAGTACAGGAGTACAGATGTGCCGCGATCTCTTGGAGTGATCCGCATCGTTCAAACGGCGAAGAAGCCCAATCGGACGAGCGATGGGAGAAAGGTAACGCCCCTCACGACGAACTTAGTCCATTTCTTGGTTGTGTGGCACTCGGCCAGTTGGGAACGGTTTCCTAGGGCGTCTCGTTTCATAGGCCGCTTGCTTTTAGCTTTCCCGGGTTCTCTCGTCTCAAGTCATAAAGTTCCCTCTTTGCGTTGATTTTTTTTCTCTGCACGTGACACTGTTCTGGACAAGAAAGAGGGCTAGATTGGTGTATCGCTCTCCCAGTCTGAACCGCCTTCTGTTTTTTTGGTTGTCTCGGATCGTTAGTTTTCCCTTGACTTAGCCTACGGGATTTTGGATTCGTGTTCTTTTCCTCCCCGTTTCTTGTAAATCTCCGAATGCTATCTGGTCGGCTTTTGTCCTTTTTCATTTCTGGAAACTTTTGAGTGGTTGATCTCCTCGATTTCTAGGGTAGATTAAGATTGATACACCTAGATTCGTCTTTCATTTCATGTCTTATTACCACGCCCTTGTTTGGAGCCTTTCCGATCTGGATGAATCTTTCCTTTCTCACACCGACTTCTCCCATTCAGTAGCGGCCTCGGGCTATGTCCAGAGGGGGCAACTCCGAGCCCTCCGCAAAAATTGCTGTATGGAAAACCTAAGTGTTGAATAGGTGGTTATGCAAGGTGGGGCCATCCCCAACCCTGGTCCTTTTTCCTTTCTTACCTTTCGCACCCTCCCATTTCTCTCCCAGCCGTTTTCTTTTCTGTCAGGCTTACCACACCCCCCTCACACACTCTTCTTGGCCGGGTACTTTCGGGAGATGCCCTTCCTGGCCCGTTACTCTCAGCAGTTGACCCCCTCATCTACTCACTTTCAAGACGGGGGCTGGGAGCCTCCTCCATTGAACCTAGAAGTGGCGGCTTCAAAAACGAACGCAAGAGTCAGCGACAGCGAGAAACAGTCATCCGGAACGATTCTGCAGATTAAGGATACTCTGAAGAAACCGCGGCGGGATTCCGATGGAGTTGAACGTGCAGTGCTTGAACTGTGGGTGGGAACTAAGATGGGTGTGTGTGTTAGGGCAGTGCCATAGGCCTCAAAATGGTGATGATGAGGTATTGAGAGTGAATGATGTCGATCTGAGGAATAGACGGGATGTTATTCACAGTTCAGGGGGTGATAATGACGGTAATGATGATGATGCTGACAATAGTAATGAGGAGGACAATAGCGGTGATGTGAATCACTGGAATCAGAAGACTGGGGAGGAAGAAAGGGAAGATGAGAAAACAGGTCTGGGCGGCACAGTCGTCCATTGGGATAAGAAGATAAGTAACGCCAGGAGAATGGATTTCAAAGATTCCAAGGATATGAAAGGCAGTGAGCAGGAGGGTGAAGACAACAGTGTTGAAAAATCTTGTAACGGGCAGGGTAGGAGGCAGGGTAGGAGACGGGATTGGAGAATTCCCTGGTGCAGAGAGAGATGTGTGTGTGTGTGTGTGTGTGTGTGTGTGTGTGTGTGTGTGTGTGTGTGTGTGAGAGAGAGAGAGAGAGAGAGAGAGAGAGAGAGAGAGAGAGAGAGAGAGAGAGAGACAGCATTGAGTCATCAGTGAATCATTGATCACTATTGAACCGAGAGATCACTGAACCTTCGCTGAGGGGTCCCCAGACCTCCATGAAAGTGTTATTGATAGAGTCAAAGGCAGTTGCCAAAAGGATAGGCTTGGTCAGGTTATGTTGTTCATTATCTAGGGGCTAGTCTTCAGTTGTCAAGCTAACTGCATAACTTATTGATCCCCAGAATTCGTTGGTACGTGTCTGGGTACAGTGGTGGTGGGACTAGGTGCTAACTCATTTTAGGCGCCTGAGGGTGAAGAGGTCCCCTTTTGTTTTGCTGATAACCCAGAGAGTTTCTGAACTTTGAGAAGTTACCTGATGATTTATCCATTGGAAGGGACGCTGGACCCGGTTTCCAGCAGGTGCAGCTCCCCACCAATAGAAAGGAGCCATCGGAACCATGCCGGCCTCTACCCTCTGGGGCTCTTACCACCCAAGGGGTAGAGGACCTGGCCCTGAACGATGATTGACATTTAAAAAAAA